TTCTGCAAAGGCCCCGAGGGCAGAACTGAAAAATGCGGTATTTGAAAGTGGCGCCCGAATTGCAGCATGGCCCCAGTTGTCCAAAATCCTACGGTACTAAAGGAGGGGTTTGGAAAAAGGGTGCCAGGCCGAAAACGGGATGCAGCCGAAACAGCAAAAAGATAGACCAGGGATCGAGCCCTGGCGGAGTCCGTAACAACGACAGGTCGCTGCTCCAGCTGCCGAAGGCCGCTGTGGACTTGATTCAGTGCGTCGTCGAGGCTGTGGATGTCCTCCTGTGTAATGCATGTTGCCAGGAGGTCCGTGAGATGGGTGAGTAGTAGAGCGATCTTGTTTTCACTATCTTCCATCTTGCCATTCTCGGCCTCGGCCCGCCAATCCGCTGCCATTGTGAGCAAAACTTGCTCTCCGCTAAATATCTTCTCACAACGTTGAACCCGTTCTTCATCGGCAGCCTTTGCTGCTGCCTCGTGGTGTTGGCGCTGCTGTTCAATTGCCAGCAGATGTGCCTTCTCGGCATCCTCTGCCTTCTTCTTCGCTGCGGTTGCTGCGCCATCCGCCTGTCTCTTGGTTTCAATACTCCAGGCCGGCATCCGGGCCTGGTAGGCCTCGTCTGTTTCCCCGGACTTCTGGTCCATGATGGCTGTTTGTGAACGCAAAAGCATAGACCAGGCCGGGGGCCTGCTGACGTGGTACTGCTGTCGGCTGATGCGGCACTGCTGTCGGCTGACGTGGCCTGCTGACGTGTCCTGTTGACGTGGTCTGCTGACATGGCAACTCACCAATGCTGTCGCAGGGGGTACCCGGAGATAGATAGAGAAGGTAAGACCAGAGGTGGCAACAACATAGGTGGGGAGGGGTGGGTGGAATAATCGCCCAGATAACCTCAAGATAAGGAGCCACTAATAAAAAAAGAAAAGTTTGAACTCTGCAAAAAAAATTCGAAAAAATAAAAAATCCTGAGTTTTGCAAGTTCAGTAGGTCTCCCAACCTCCCTTGAAGTGCGAAAGTATCAATGAGAAAATCGAATAGTGAGCAAAACTTGCTCTCCCTTGAACTTCAGACTGCCAATGACTATCAGATAGTGAAAATCATAGAACTGCGAAAAGAAAATAAAATTTCCGAAACGAAATGACAAGTATTCGGATTTACTCAGATGAGAGTATTCGCAGTTTGGAAAATGGTACTGCAAGAGGGATTCCCCGCACCGTTTTCAGAAAAACAATGTATTTCGGGAAAAAATATTCCGAGTTTCCAAATAACGGGAAATGCAACAGGAAATCGAAATTTTCAAGAAAATATTCCGCATTTCCAACAACGAAATTTCGGATTTTCAGAAGAAAAACGAAACGGAAATTTCAAATGTTGCGCTATTGCGATTTTCCACAACAGAAATAGCGAGAAAACGAAATCCAAGAAAAGAAAAGAAAAATCGATTTTCGGCAGTGAGGTCAAAATCGTGATTTTGGGGGCTAACTAGTGTGCGCTAATCAATCAATCAAGACTAATCAGCTACCTAGTCCCCACACACGTGTCAGATCAGGTTGTCCTGATTCACGCGTGGTTCTCCGATACCACCTGTTACATGCCCAGTTGGGCGATGTGCATATAAACCGAGGATCCGCAATGTGATAAAAAGGACTGAATGGACAATGCAGTGAAAGTGGAATCTCAACAAGCAATGTGCATTCCGATACATACAAAATGGTGCTTTATAGCGCAGGGAAGACCTTAGATACAAGTCCTGACCTGACCGGGACTGGCCTCTTTCACGTAGTACAAGATAGCGAAGCAGAATGCTAGAATAATTATGACTAGCCCAATCAATGTTTCAACGCAGACCAAACATACATCATGCTCATCACAAAGTGTGAAGGGGCCTGGCGCTATACACAGGAAAGAGGCGCCAGGTCCAGACATACACAGACGAAGAGGAAGGGATCAGACGAAGAAGAGGAAGGGGGAGATGGGAAAGTCGTCAACACCAAGTCTCGTTACACGTCCCAAATAATCCCTCTTCAAAATGTCTGAAGTCCCATGTCGAGTCTGGATCCAATGTCACCAAGCTCTCTCTCTCTCTCTCTCTCTCTCTCTATTAGTCTGCTGATGCAGTGAAGTCAGATAGTGAGAGGGTGAGAAGGAGATGGTGGACTGAGAAGAGGAAGAAGAAGAACTCTCTCTCTCTCATGAGCCAGGTACTAACCTGTGAAGTTGGCGCTATGCTGCAGGTACCTCGAAGACGAAGCTGGAACAATGGCGCTGCAGGTAAGTACCCCTGGCCTCCGCCCAATCCTCTCTCTAGTACTACTCTAGCTATGGCGCCCAGCGCTGAAGACTACTGCTAACGCTACCACAACTCCTGCAGCGCTCCTTCAGAGTGCTGCTGCCGAATCCTGACGACTACTGACTGCCTCCTGCCTCCCCGTGAAGTGCATGGGAAGTCCCTATGTACTACCTCGGCCTGCCTCCTGACTGCCTCCTACTGCCTGCAGTTGCAGGGTGGGCAGGCCAGGAGGCTGCTCTTGCCAATGCCAAGCTGAGCCAGGGGCTGGCGCTGCAGCTGTCGTGGGAACAGGCCAAAAATTGCCTGTTCCTAAAACCCTGGTTCGGTGCCTGAGTTTCAGGGCAGGTAGGTCTGATGACAGTCCGAAAATGGCCCTTTGTTTCAAGCTAAGAAGGCTACTGCCATTTTTAGTCTGAAACGAGACAAGGTCTGTAGGCCCCTGTTTTTCAGGCTTTTGAGCTGAACAGACACGGGGCCTGTAGGCCCTGGTTTTCAGGCTTTCAACCTGAGGGACGCAGGGCCTGGAAAATGGCCCTTGTGTGCAGGCGCAGCATGTACTACTCTCTCTCTCTCTCACTCGAGAGATGATGGATCATCAATTGAGAGAGAGAGAGAGAGGGGACGCCTGGCTGGGCGGCGGCCCAGCCTAGTGCATTTCTACTTTCTCGACAGTATTTGACTATCTGGCTTTCATTGTGATTTGCAATCTGGATTTCTGTCATTTCGCTATTGCTCATTTTCCTTACTTTTTTTTTCCACATGGCCCCCTTCAAGTAGTGCCGAGCACCCTTCTTTTCCTCACACACATCTCGATAAGATGACACACACGGCCTCAGAAGAGAAAATGTGAGTTGAAAGCTTTGAACATAAAACAAATGGACGCGTAGGACCCGGGGGCCAATCTGGCGCAGTATGGAAAGGAAAATAAACACAACAACAAACGGGCCTCAACTCAGGGTTGTCAGAGTCTAAGCACCCTGCTGGGTCTATACTCTATAGGCAATAGTGAGTAGATTCATCTACAACAGTTCGAGTGTGAGCATGGCAGGAATAGAAAGACAGTAGTGAAGAGAGAGAGGGCTGTTCATCCTTCAGGGTTGTTTCTTACAGAAGGTAGTTCCTCGCAAAGGACTGTTTACCTTTTTCATCCTCCTTTTTGTTTTTCCCTTTGTCAGACATGCCTGTTTCTGCTGTCACAGAGGGCTGTTTGTCACACACGGGCAGATTTCACTTCCATTCCTGATTACGCGCCCCGTAGACCTACAAGGAAAATTATGAAGCTCATCTGGCTGCAGGATTCAGTGGGAGACAGCTACGGCACAGCATTACACTGACCATAGCAACTTTCATAGAAACACATAGGCAACTCACCTGGGAATCATAGAACCCCATGTCCTCGAGCTGGGATAATTGTGCAGCATACTGTTGCTCGGGAGGAATGTTGCTTGCTGCACATATGGAAGAAGCAGATGGGCCATAAACACAACACAGGTGTGGAAAACATCAGGTACCATCCAGACAAACAGAAAATGAGAACGTTAGTTCAAAATAAAACAAACTATGAACTAACTGCAGCGAGCACACGATTCACACAGAACTCACATTTCATGGCATGGAAGTTCACACCAGAAACGAAAACCAACACCAGATATTAGAAATTCATTGCCCAGAAATCAGTGTCCAACTCTGCAAATTTGTCTTGACACAAGTGTGGCAGCTATGGCCGCCAACCAGCACTCGGGTATGGCATCTCGCTTCCTATGACACACAAAACTGAAAGGCATTCCACGATGCAGACCCCAAATTCGAATTCCAGGGTCAAGGTCTCAGGTGAAACAGTTTTCACCTTTGGCAGTAGCCGATGCAGATCCCAGGGGTCGATCCCTTGACCTCAGCTTACCTGTGTACAGTATCTGCACAGTTCCCTGGAGTTGAACCCGTGACCTGCACGATAGCCAGTGGTAAG